CCTAAAACATGTAATGAAGCGTTTATGATGATGATACTTTTTTCTAAATGTTTGGGAATTTACTCATTTCAGTATTGAACATTCTTGCACAGCTGATTGAATGATGGGGAGCTTAGTGCCTTCCCGGACGGAGGCACTTCGATGGCGGACAGGCAAAAGGTAACCGCGTACATGGACATCTGCGCACGTGTAGGAACTTGAAATGACTGGTATCTATTCAGCGGATAAATTTCTACTTGGTGTTGCAACACTTTTGGATCATAACAGCAAAGTAAATCACTATTTTATCTCAAGCAGTAAAATGTCTCCAAACAAATCAAGCAGTAAACTTTGTGTGGCGTCTGTCACCAACAGTGGCAGAAAAAGTGAGAATAAACAGTTTATGCGAAAATCCATAAATATCACCAGGCCTGTGCGGAACATGCAACACCTTCAGAGTGAAAGCTGGAAGAGCGGCCTTTCTAGAGCTTTTGAAAACTCTTGGCGCTTCACAATTCTACTCAAATAATTCTACTGAAATCTTCACAATTATACTGAAATAAAAAAAAAACACCAACTACGCCATTACTTGTTACTCTGTGGACAAGTGATGTGTTCGGTACACATCTGTAAGACATTATGAGCACTTTTTTTTTGGTGGGGCGGCTGATCACTATGAATAGGGCTGATCGAGGGGTTTGTAATGGGTTGGAAGCATCCTACAACCCATACATTGCGTCACTGACACTGTATGACACCTTCTTGTTACTTTACCAAAAAAAAAATGCTAAATTACACATGTTCATGCCATTAGTTTTCGGAACTGGAGCCGGCATAGCGTCAATTAGCGTGGGAATTTCCAGCCTCGACATGCATCTTGGGTAGAATACAGAGCCCCCATGCAAAGAAACCAAAGTTTGAATACCGTTTTGTCGGAGATATTTTGTTAAGGGCGAAGCTCCTCTTAGCCTATCGTTATCACGCGTCACGCGTAACCGAGAGAAGAAGAGACGAGAAAAAAAAGGAAGCAGTATCTCTAAACAGTGCAACAGACGGTGCTGTCTCATAGAAGTACATGGAGAGTGCAGTTGAGTGAGGATATTCTGGATGGCGCTGTACCGCTACTCTTAGATTGGCTGCTACGCGGGCTATGCCTGGGTACGCGGAGAACGCGTGCCTCTCTCAGTCTACTGGATAGTCGCCGTACGAGGCGTATCGTTGGTCTGGCATGGACGAAGCAGAGCGTCGGGCGCGTTGAAGACGTTTGTGCTCGACTTCCTTGGCTCGTGTCTCGTCGGTGTTACCCGTGCGCCACATGCATCCTCGAACACGATCGGGCGCGTTGACGCATGCGCGGACGGACCGAAACACGAACGGATGGACGGATGGACGCCTCGACTCACTCATCAACATTCCGTCCATGTATATGCTGGAACTTTTTTTGTGATGGTTTTGCTTCTTATTTAAAGCGATAGCGGGTACGGACACTGGCGGCAACAGTGGCGGAACAACTGAATCTTGTGGTCTCATACCAGCGTTCGCTCTAAAAAATGCTGAATACTTGAGCTTCGCTGTAAATAGCGGAACGCGAAAGCACTATCGGGTTCCATTCATGCCGCAATCTCCTTCGCTTGCCCCTCTTCACTTCTCGGGGAACACTTCTAAGTGTTGCGAAGTGAAGAAAATCCGTACGCATTATATTCTACGTCTTAAACTCTGCTGGAATGCCTACGGCCAATACAGTTGCGCTGTGCCCACGGCGCAATAATGTTTTTAATTAGCACAGTTCCCACAACTTTTCCGCGAGGCCATACGTGCACCTACGTAGCGTTGAACCCCATTCATGCTGTGTCTGATGATGATGTTGAAGTACGGCTTAGCGCTCTGTTATAGATGTTCTTTTAACACATCCAGTGGTTGTGCGATTCACATGTTGAACTGCTGATCTGACTCAACGCTTATTACATACAATAACAATATATTAACGCGAAACATCACACTAGATGACGTCAGTGTATGGTGTTGTCTTTCCAAAGCACTCCCAAGCACTTGTGGGACTCTATGGTAGAATACGAGCCCGCCACGCAGAAGGCTTGGACATATGAATCTCGTGATTTGTATTGTTTGCTTTCATAGGAATTATTCGCTCACAACATACCCCACCGACACCTCCAACAAATTTTCCGCGACACTGGCTCTTTAATGTTACAACATTAAAACGATGCGTCACGGACAAACATGCATATTAGCAGTATTTATCCAAACAGCACGCAGTTGACTGAACTCCTATTCTGTTTTGAAAGCTGCAAGCTGCTACCTAAAGCATAAAAAACGCTCACATATAAGCTCCTTGATGTTCCAACGCGTCTCATACATCAGCATTCATTGCAGAATTCTCGTTCTCCAAAGGCGCAAAGAATAAGATGCATATTGAATACAGATATCAGAATAAGTGCTTGTGTGTGTCGTAATACGCAGCCCACCAGAGTTGATTCAGGTTGAATTCTATAAGGCCATTCTTTCAGATTTTCTGAAATAAATGTACAGATAGTGGCATAAGAGAGCCTAATTTACCATACTTGACTTTTTTTTATGGTTTCCTTTACAGCTTTTGCGACAGCAGTGAACTGCTTCTCAGTAAAGACGTCCACAAAAGTGCAAGACGTGTTGTCCGCACTCAAGTGCACGTTTCTGTATGCTGTGATTATCACTGGGGTCGTATACTCGTTCTATGGCAAGTTTCTCAATCATCTTCATAAATTTGGTTTATACAACGACTTACGTCTGTACAAATGTGTTACAGATGCCTACATTACTTTTTGTCATTGTATTTTACACCAAATCAGGTAATCACATTTGGGATCCACAGCCTTCCGCAAACCTTCCTCCTTCTATTGGTGATCTGGCATCGGCTATGTACTCAGCGTTATACTGCTACGGGGGATGGTAACGTTTTTTTGGCATACATTTAAAATATTCCACATTTTTAGTATGGTCCTGTGCAAAAAAAGCAAATATCAGTTTGGCGTCCCCACACAACATATTACTGCACAAAATTACGTTCGAAAAATGCGTAGCCGAGGCTAAGTCATCGTGTAAAGAGACAATTCTTACGCATACTATTCCATGTTTGGACCCGCAGCTATGACCGCAAGTTGAGCCTCCAACAACAAAAGCAGCCTACTGAATATGCGAAACAATTTAAACACGTCATTAAAGTTATTAAATCATACATTGAAATAAAGGAAAAAGCTATAGCACGAGAACAGGGGATACAAATAGAAAGCTTTGGCCAAAGTTTCCACTCATCTTTGCATTGTCAGAGAGTGTGTTTGATATTATAGCATCGTTGAAGTCCACAAGTCTCTTGGCATATAAAATGTAATATAATGGTAAGTTGATAGAGTTCTCAGTAGGTGCCCTCAGTTTTCGTGCGAGAAAATTAAATATTTTAACTGGTAGCGCACAATATTTAGGTTTCCAGCCTGAAACACAAAGCTAGCCTAACTACTAACAAGTGCACTATTACCTTAGGAATGCCTTTCGGCGTCTAATTGGATACTCTTGGAGTTGAACGATGCTACAATATTGAATGCATTCTATCTGTGTGAAAACTAGTTTTAGGCCTGGACCGCCAAATGTGTTACTAAACGTGAGCAGTTCTGGGATATTTTGGAAGGGTCTAGAATGTTCCCCAGCATCCATTTCGCGATAACGTAACATGACGCATGATATATAAAATTTAGGCCACGTTCTTCTCCTAAACGTACACAATCGCTACGTCAATAGTTGAAAAAATCCCTCTGAAAGCTCATTAAAACACACCAATAAACTTCACGCACGTGCCAACGCCACATCGCCTAGCATAAGGAATTATTCTTCGGCAACACCCAGTTTTTCAGGAGGTGCGTTTAGAGAACTTGATCTTAAAAAAAAAAAAACGAATTGCACAATGGCAGGCGAGTATCAAACTGCTCTACATATCTATAGTTTCTTGTTTGTGTGGTGAGAACTTCTATAACACTTCGCAGGAGCGCCATCAACTGCGTCGCCGAAGAAGTAAAGAACCCGGGCCGTAACATCCCCCTCGCCATTGCAGTCAGCGTCACCATCACTTCGATCATGTACCTGCTCACAAACATCGCCTTTTTCGTCGTTCTGGACACGGACACCATAGTGAATGCTGACGCCGTCGCTGTCACCTTCGTGCGTGCCACGTGGGGCCAAGGAATGGCACACGTCATGCCCTTGGTAATTGGACTGACCGTGTTCGGAACGACCGTGCGCCAACGTGGTCACTTCTTCGAGGATATTCTTCGCGGCGAGCCGACAGGGTCACCTGGCCCGCGTCATAGTCGTACGTGCACGTGGACAGTTCCGTGCCCCTAGTAGCTATGGTGGTCCGCTGTCTGTTTTCCCTGGCCTTTACCCTGGTCGGCTCGGTACACTTCCTGATCGAAGTGAGCATCCTTCTGGGTAACGTCCTCGAAGCGGCCAGCGTTAGCGAGCTTGTTCCTTCTGCGTCGTTCCATGCCCGACGCCCCAAGACCTTACCGAGTGCCTACCGTCATCGCCGTGCTACGACTCCTAGTGTGTCTTGTTCTGGCCGCCATGACACTAGTCCAGGTGCGGCGGTACGCGTATCAATACATGCTGTTGGCAATCGCGTTTGCGACGGGAACCATCTATTATTACGTTTTTGTGAGGGTGATGTTCCGGCTTCGAGGATGCGAGAGCATCCCGGTGTGTCTGCAGAAGTGCTTCAAGTCAGCTCCATGCTCTAATGACTTGGAAAGGCGCGATGAGTGTGTTGTCGAATGGAAGTAGTGTACGTGGGTTACTAAGGCGAACTGGTTTAGCGTCCATAGTGTGTAATTATTAAGAATGGCCTCCAGTGATGTATTTCAGAATAACTTCAATATGGTCAACGTTTTGGGATAACCGGAAAATAAGAGCTGTTGTCCTGCAATATTGTCCCGTGCGAAGCTATTGATAGTCATGTGACCTGCTTCGCCTAGTAGATGAAGCTGTGGGCATCCGAGTTGATGCTGTCGAGTGAGTGTTGTGTTTGTTCACATAATAGTAAAAGGCGTAGATTTGCATGTGCTAGAAAATAGGCGCAGATTTCGACAGCGCCTTTACAGTCGCAGCAGAATGTACAGTTGTTGCGTGGTACTTAGAATACATGTTAATGCTAAAGCATTATTGAATGAATGAATGAATAAAAGAATGAATGAATGAGGTTGAACAAGCAAATTCATAATTCATATTTGAAAACAATGCAACCATGCTGCCCACCTCTCATACCAAGAATTGCCTTGTGAATCTTCCTGACAGTTCAGTCCATGCCTTAGAAAGGGTCAGCAGTGTTCGTGAAGCATCGCAAAGTAGTAACATGCAATCGAAGATACAATGCAGTGAGACCCCCAATTTATGCCCATTGTTAGATGAGCACTCCACAACATCTGATTATTCTGCTTTTGAGGGCCTATGCAGAAAGGCTGCGTGGCCTACGCGTAGCCCTTCTGCATAGGTCTGCATAGGCACAGAAGCATGAGTCATCCTCGGAACGATAGACTATATCAAAATAGCAATTCGGGCTAGTTGCAATCTGCTCAGAACGGTGAGCGCAAACTAGACTAGATACAAAAATGAGATACGGGATACAGGAAGTGCGTGATATTTTAAAGTTGAATGAAACAACGTGGAATATTGTATCGTACAGGGACGCCTTCCCAAATTCTCATTCTTGATATTAGTATACTATCACTACCAATATTATTCATACAACAACAACAACAACAACGACAACAATAATAATAATAATAATAATAATAATAATAATAATAATAATAATAATAATAATAATAATAATAATATCAACAACTGTATTAGTAGCAAGAAAAAGCTGTAGGAGGATGAGTCATTGTAGTATTTCACAACCACTGATTAATTAGTTGTATTCTTACTGATTAAAAGCTGGATTTTCATGTATGAAGAACTCGTAGCGCCCCCCTTTCTGTTCAAGTTTTCTACGTTTCATCATCAATCTTTCAGTTGATTGACACCGCCTGTATCGTATGCCTTCTTGTTTCTCTTGTCTTGTTTGCGTTGATCGTCATGGTTCCCAGCAAAGCCGTCGCGTAGAAGCTGCGCTGGTGCAAGTTGCACGTTCATCAGCCCGTGAACAGTGACCTCACCGTTGTGCACCATGATGGAAGGTTGCGCAACATTCTCCAGGTGCGCGCTTTCGCAACAGTGGATGAACGTCGGAAGAGGATTACAGTCCCCCCCTCCCCCGACAACAGCTAGACTCCGGGCTTTCCCTTGGCCGAAAGTGACACCACATGTTTGGGAGTGGCGATTGGACGAACATGACATTCCTCACACCAGTTCATAATTCACTAAACATCACTGGATGGGCGGCGTTATAAGTCGCAAAACCATCAAGAGATGCGTCTTCTAGTCCAAGTGGTGGGCCGCTATATTGTGTGCCTCAGCGGTAATTTCATTAAGTTTTTTTTTATTAAGTCTGTAGAAATAACCTCAGTTTTACACATATGTTCGCATCGTTCACTAAAAAAATACCGCACAAGTACTGCGAGCCCCAACTACGTGCTACGAAATGCGCACAACATGGCGCTGCAAACGATATTTTACAATCTAAGCAATTCAGAACACTTTAGCATCGTAGCGTTCAAAAGCTCGTTTTGTAGAAATTCCGGCATTGCCATCGCTGCCGGAAAGCAGGTGTTTTATCGCACAGCAACGCGTATGCTGGCAAAATATAGCAAAAAGAACTTCCTCTGCTTTAGAAATCAGTGAAAATAACTCATGCTTTACACAGACGTGCGTCCTGTATACTTGCTTCAAGATACAACGTGTAGTACTACAGTAATATTGCGTGGTACAAGCGTACATTGCCGTTGGGCGTCTGATGATGTGACTATCGTGATGACTTTGTGGTTTAAAGCCAGCCACCTATTACAAAAAGGCACGCGCGTTAACACGCGTATTTCCTAAGACCACGTGGTGAGCGCATAGCAAGATCAAACAATTTTCACGTGGTTTTAAGCGTGCTACCAATCAATCGTCCTGTAGTCATTTGCGAAAGGTTGGCACAAGCCTCTCTCAACTTTTTTCGATTACATTGTAGTAATCCACATTTTAAATATAAACTTCTTGATTTACATCGTACAATAAAAAGTGTGCCTTCATGCTTTGAGCACGCACAATTGACAGTATATCGCAATCACGTTCGACTCATATAAGGCGAAGCCTAAGGATTCCCTTTTTTGTGTGTGTTTGGTCGGTTTCACTATGCTGCTTGAGCGCATCGCTTTTACGGGGATCAATAATTTTCTTTCGTCTCACGAGGTAATGAGAATAAGTTTTGAGTGCTGCTACTTCACTTATACATGAGTTTTCTAATCTTGATTTCTTACGAAATGATGTTCACTCTTCCTACAGACGAAACAGGTGCTTTCCCTTTATTTCGCAAGAATCGCGTTAAAATAAAAGCACTGGGCACTGCAAGCATGAGCGTGAGAAAAAAAAAAGTCTCTCCGCCACAAATAAGAAGGGGTCATATATCGAGTTTTTCGGGGCGTGTTGAACGAAAATCGGAAATGTATTGAGCGCTCTCAAACAAGGACGTACGAGAGACGTATAGCGGTGTAGTTTCTCTTGGGCCGTTGCTTGCTTGTACTGATCACTTTATCGAGACAGAACCGTGCCCGTACTAGCCCAATTTTCAATGCCGCGAGTGTTATCATCGTCATGATATATCCTCCCACCAAACTTTCCAATTACAGCGAAGCTTGGTCAACAATCCACCTCGGTGAAACAGTGGCTATGGTGCTAAGCAGCTGACTCAGAAGTTACGGGTTCGACCACGGCCGTGGTGGTCACATTTCGATGAAGCCAAAATGGTGGAGGCTCGCGTGCTTTGTGACGTCAGTGCAAGTTCAATGCACGTTCAGGAATACCGATGAGTGAAAATTATGTTAGGGGTATGGCGCAGTTAGCTTGTAGTACTGGCACAATATTGCATTTGGAAGGGCACACAAGCCGCCGGCCTATGCAGGCTTACGTCGAGCAACGCACGACTATTTAAGAGCCTGCCCGTGCTTAGTTAAAAACAAACAGGCAAAAGGACATTAGATACAATTAGGAAAGAGGAAACCAGGCGGGGCAATAGCCTGCAAATTATGCAAGGATAGATCCGCCGGCTACCTATAACATCCTAATCCTATAATTAAAGAATACCGGATGGTGAAAATTCTGAAACCCTCCCATATATGGCCTTTCTCTTAATCATATCGTGGTTTAGAGATGTAAAACACCGGATGCTAAATAATTTATTGCTCATTATTCAATCTAGAACAGCTTCGATTTCCTAAGTTTTTCATTTCTCTTTTATTACGGAACCTACAAGAAATCAGTGAATTTAGGTAATTTTTCTGCCGGCCAGTTTTGTATAAACTGGCTCTCTTACTTTTAGAGGCAAATGAACAATAAGAGTTGTACATTAGTAGATTCATATTGTGTCTTTTACGCACTTGATCACACTGACTCGACCACCTAGTGCTTCAAGCAAAATATTTTCAATAAATCATAAATATCACAGGTGCTTTTTGGTGGCAGTGCCATATATGAAATGAAAATCAGGTTGTTTTGGTGACACCCATGTGTCGTTGACGTTGTCGTGCTGTCACTACGTTGTCTGGTAGTAGCTGTAGATGTCGCCGAAGTCACATGAGCAAAGGGGATGGGTCAACAACAAAGAAAACGAAATAAATTGTATTCGCAAGGCATAGTATCAAGCAGGGTCTTGACGGTATGAATGCGTGTCCGTATAACCACTGAGCAATACATGCAGCCGTGCTTGCAGAATCAGTCTTACGTGAAGCACATTTAAAATCCAGAGTGAGCGAATAGCGAGGACACATGGTCTAGCTTACAAATCACATCAATTCACCCGCTTGCATTTTCGGTGTTCGACGGTTTTGACGGTGTAGCAGTGCCTGATTTTTTTTCGTCTCCACATGGACACCATCGCGAACACCGATGATGTCGCTGTCGCGTATGTTCCCGCCTTGCGGGCCATGGAATAACTAACGGACTGCTCGCGATCATCACTCTATTCATGTTTGGCACGACTTGCAGTCAGGTCACGCTACTTGCCGTATTTCGAGAATGCTTCACGGCCAGCAGATGGCGTCTTGTAGCTCGTGTTACGTCACACTTGTATGCTGACAGCACCGTACCGCTACAACCCGTAGATGCACGAATATTGTCCGTGGCATTTGCCCTCACTAGCTCGGTCAACTCCCTGACAGATGCGAGCTTGTGGCTAGTCGACATTCTACAAGCGGCGAGCGTTCAAAGTCCGTTCCTTCTGCGTGACTCAATGCGTGACATCGTGAGACCTTACCCAGTGCCCTCTGTCATCGCGGAGTGGAGACGTCCGGTGCATGTGTTGCTCCAAACGTTGTCACCGTCACTCCGGCTCGGCAGCAGGTGTTTCAACTCGCTTTAGGCTATCCATCGCCTGCGAAGCGAGATTTCCGCTATATTACGGATGAATATCGCGTTGTTTCTGGAGGATCACTTGAAGATGTCACCCAGATCATTTTGTACAACAGAAAAAGTTTACATGTGCGACTGATATACCCGCTCTAAATTATAGTAGTACGCGAGAACTTGAAATTGCCGTGGGTGATACGGCAAGACCAGAAAGCAATGATCGAACTATCGATAGATAGATAGATAGATAGATAGATAGATAGATAGATAGATAGATAGATAGATAGATAGATAGATAGATAGATAGATAGATAGATAGATAGATAGATAGATAGATAGACTCTTTTGTTCACCGGGTAAGGTCTTTCATTTATAAATCGCAGGAAGTATCCTTCAATAAATAGGAAAAAAACAAATACTGCGAAAGCAGCACATCCGTGCAAAACGCAGCAGTTATAGTAATAATTCTTGAATGCGTACCTGCGTACTGACGGGCTTCAGAGGGTAACGTAGCGATATAATAGTCG